ACCCCGGGAGTTCTTTGCTAAAGCGATGCCCACCTTCCTGACGGGAGCCGCTAAGATTTGGTTCGATAGCCTTCCCCCGGGAAGTGTCGCTTCCTACGCAGACCTGGGGCGAAAACTCCATGTTCGATTCTTTTCTAGCAAGAGGGCCAAGCGCACCATCCACGACTTGTCGTCAGTTCGGCAGCGTCGGAACGAGTCTTTGGGGGAATATTATGAGCGGTTCACGAAGGAGCTCATGATGATAGATCAAGTTGATGATTTGGTTGTAAGGGTGGAGTTTGTGAATGGCCTCTCCCCCTTTGGTGCGGGTGCCGCCCTAAGGGGTAAGCTCACTTCCAAACCCCGGTCACCACCCAGAAGTTTTGGGAGACAGTCGAGAAGGAGATTCGGACGGACGAGTCCATGAAAAGAGCCAGGGAAGCCTTTACGGAAGGAAAGAAGAAAGGTGGGAAGCCGGAGGCGAAGAAACTTAACATTGGATCTCCCAAGTTCGAGTCCCATCCTTACCAATACTAGAAAGGAGATTCTCCAAATTCACAAAAATGAGTTCAAGCTCCCACCCCCGGGCAGATCTCAGAATGAATCCTCTTCCGAGTGGTGCGATTTTCATCGAAGCAAGGGGCACGATACCGAGGATTGCTACCGGCTGAAAAAGGAGATCGAGGAGGGTCTTAAAGTGGGTAAGTTCCAAGATTGTGTCCAGAAGGGATCCCAGGAGAAAGCTCCAGGCCAACCCAAGAACCGGAGGTGGAAAAAGAACAAGGCTAAGGTCGCCAATCAAGCCCCCATTGGGGGCGGGGCCAAAGCTCAGGACGATGTCGACCCGGCGTAAGCACGACAGATTTTAGCCGCTCCCGTGGGTGCTATCTACGGGGCACCCTTGGGGGTTTAGAGCATTTCTGCTCTCCGCAGAAGTTTGCGCCCCCGCCCGCCGGGTGAGTCCGAGGCCAAGCGACTTCGTCCCAGGAAATTGATAACCTTTTCAGAACAGGATTTGGTGGGTGGCTCCGAAGATTATTCTAATGCATTGGTTATCACGGCCATTGTTGCCAACCGGGAAGTTCGGCGTGTATACGTTGATAGTGGCAGCTCCGTGGATGTCATGTATGTTGATTATTTCCAGAAGTTAGGCTTCGATAAGATTCAGCTTCGCCCCGCGTCCATGCCATTGGTCGGCTTCTCTAACCATGTGATAATGCCTCTTGGCATAATCAGCTTGGCAGTTACCATAGGGACTTATCCCAAGGATCGGGTCATTCTCGTCGACTTTGCGGTGGTGGACGTCGTGGCCCCTTTCAATATCATTCTGGGGCAGCCATGGATGAGTCAGGCGAAGGCCATTTACTCGCCATATCATTTGGTCATGAAGTTTCCAACCGTGGCTGGGGTTGCAGAAGTTCGGGGTGATCAACAATTGGCTCGACAGTGCATGATGATCGCCGCCAGGAAGGGGCGTGACTTCCTCCGGGGAGGGGCAACCGTGGGTCTGTCTAGCAGGATCCGGTCTCTGAAGACGAAGACCAAGGAAACAGCGGCTCAGGTCTCGTGGATGACGAGGTCACAGACGTGGCCCTGAATCCTTTTGTTGAAGGAAGGGTCGTCAGCTTGGGAGCTGTTTTGCCCCCCCAGTCTTGGGGATATGGTGGTTGAATTGTTAAAGCAATTTGAAGACATGTTCGCTTGGAGTCCCAGCGATATGACAGGGATTCCTCCCGAATTGGGCGTGCAGAAACTGAATGTAGATCCCAGCGCGCGGCCCATACAGCAGAGGAGGCAGAAGATGGCTCCCGAGCGCAATACCACTATCGATGTGGAAGTCACTAAGCTGTTGGCCGCTTCCATCATCAAAGAGATCTCCTATCCCACATGGTTGGCCAACCCGGTTATGGTCAGGAAGCCCGACTCCTCTTGGCGTATGTGTGTAGATTATAAGGATCTCAATAAATACTGTCCCAAGGATTGTTATCCTCTTCCGGCAATTGAGCAGAAGGTCGATGCTATCTCGGGGTATCCGGTGCTTAGCTTTCTGGATGCGTATAAAGGGTACCACCAGATCTTAATGAATGAGGATGATGCAGAAAAGACGGCCTTCTTCACTGAAAAGGGTGTGTTTTACTACGTGAAAATGCCCTTCGGGCTAAAGAACACGGGCGCCACGTACCAACGGGTGGCGAATCGCGTTTTCGGGGCCCAGTTGGGAAAGAATATAGAGGTCTATGTGGATGACATGGTGGTGAAAAGTCGTCGAGTTGATCTTGTGATTGATGACCTCCAGGAACTTTCCGGACCCTTAGAGCTGCTAATATGAAGCTGAATCTGAAAAAATGCGTGTTCTGCGTCGGATCGGGAAAATTTTTGGGTTATCAGATATCACGGAGAGGGATCGATGTGGATCCTTCTAAGGTTCAAGCCATCCTAGATATGCAACCTCCTCGGTCCATTAAAGAAGTGCAAAAGCTTACATGGTCTATTGCCGCCCTTGGGCGATTTCTGTCAAAGGCTGCCGAACGAAGCTTGCCCTTCTTCCAAGTTCTCAAGAAGTCCGATACCTTCGGCTGGACCGAAGCCTGCCAGAAAGCTTTTGTGGATCTAAAGGACCACTTGAGGACTCTCCCGACCTTGAGCACATCGGACCCGGGGGAAACTCTCATTCTGTACTAGGCAGTGGGAGAGTTCACGGTAAGCGCAGCTTTGGTTCGAGAATGTAAGGGAAAACAGATCCCTGTTTATTATGTCAGTAAGGTCCTTCTACGCGCAGAGAAATCGATTTTTTGCCTTGTGACCGCAGCCCGAAAATTACGTCCCTATTTCCAGGCGCATCCGATCCTTGTTCTCACGGATCAGCCCCTGCAGCAGATACTCCGGAGGTCCGACATGTCGGGTAAGATGACTAAGTGGGCCGTGGAGCTCGTGGAACGCATCATAGAGTTCCGACCACGGACCTCAATCAAGGGTCAAGCGTTGGCCGATTTCCTTGTCGAAATCCCTCGAAGGGCGGAAGCCGAGGCTAGTGAGTGCGGTCAAACCCCTAGGGGATCTCCTCCCGATGGATCACAAATATGGACTTTGTTCGTCGACGGATCTTCCTCTGAAGAGGGTTTTGGCGCGGGCGTGGTTTTAATTGATCACCACGGGTCGGAGGTCGTCTACGCTATCCAGCTGGATTTCCCTACCACAAATAATGAGGCGGAGTACGAAGCACTGATCGTGGGGCTATCTGTCGCCCGCGCGCTAGATGTTCGGGAGATCTCCGTTTGCAGTGATTCCCTGGTGGTGGTCAACCACGTTCTGAAGCTATATGAGGTTAGTGAGGTGATTCTCCAAAAATATCTTCAAAAGGTCAGAGAGTTGGAACGCGGCTTTCGCATTTGTCAAATCCAATATATCCCGGGGTCCCGGAACAAGAGGGCTGACGCCTTGAGTAAACTGGCTTCTTCCCGCACCGTGCATCTTACCCAACAAATTCACGTGGAGATCAGGTCACGTCCGAGTATCCTAGATGGCGAGGTCCTTCCCGTGACGTTGGAGGAGGCGTCTTGGATGACACCCTTCGTCCAGTACATCCAAAATGGGGTGTTACCCGCGGATCCAAGGGAAGCCTGGAAGATCCGACTCAAGGCGCTGAGATACCTGATGAGAGATGGCATTCTCTACAAGCGAGGGTACCTAACACCTTTGCTGCGCTGTGTCGGGCCGCGGGAAGCAGAGACCTTGATCAGGAGCATGCACGAAGGCGCTTGTGGGGCTCATTTAGGTTCACGTAACCTGGCCAAAAAGCTGATCCGCGCTGGATATTATTGGCCGACTTTGTCCCAGGATTGCTACAACATTGTCCTTCGGTGCCCGCAATGCCAAAGGCACGCCCCTATCCCGCGACTTCCCCAGGATGAGATGGTCCCAATTGGCAGCCCGTGGCCTTTTTACAAGTGGGGAACGGATATAATAGGGCCTTTCACACTGGCCCCGGGTAAGATCAAGTTTGTGATAGTTGCAATCGACTACTTCTCCAAATGGGTCGAAGCGGAGCCTCTGGCCTCCACCACTGGGGCAAATGTAGCCAAATTCTTCTGGAAGAATGTCGTCTTCCGGTTCGGGATTCTGAGGGTCCTTATATCAGATAACGGAACGCAGTTTGAATCGGGTGTTTTTAAGTCTTGGTGTGAGCAGCTCGAAATCGAGCAGCGGTTCTCATCCGTGGCTCATCGTCAAGCCAATGGGTTGGCTGAAAATATAAATAAGGCTACATTACAGGGCATGAAGACACGGCTTCGGAAAGCTGAGGGCCTGTGGCCCGAAGAATTGGCCCATGTCCTCTAGGCCATTCGCACTACCATGAGGAGGCCACGGGGGCAACCCCTTTTAGCCTTGTCTATGGCATGGAAGCCGTTCTCCCGGCAGAAATAGCAGTACCCAGCCCTCGGGTGGTTAACTTCACGGAGGAAATGAATGAAAATGAAATCCGCCTTTGCCTTGATTTCTTGGATGAGAAACGAGATCTGGCCAAAGACTGCAAAACTAAATACAAGCAACTTATGGCCAAATACTATAATGCCAAGGTCCGGACTAGGGACTTCGAAGTCGGGGACCTGGTCCTCCGACGAAACGATGCAAGCCACGTAGAACCGACAGGAAAACTAGCTCCGAACTGGGAAGGACCATACAAGGTGGTGGAAGTTTCACCCTCGGGGAGTTATCGCCTGCGCACATGTGACGACGAGTCTCGCAACATTTTCCGATGGTGGAACATCCAGAATCTTAAAAAGTTCAATGTCTGAAGGCTACTGCCTACTTTTGTAATGGACGTACCCAAAGGGTGGGAATTTCAGCACTTTTGATGTTAATATACGAATTCTCCCCATACACTTGTAAACATTCCATCCTTCCCAAAGCCGTCTCGACCCCAGTGGTCGACGACACCGCGTGGCCTCTACGGCCTGCGGAACTCCTATGGTCTCTGTGACCTTGAGGCATATACAAAGCCGTCTCGACCCAAGTGGCTGATGGCGCCGCGTGGCCTCCGCGGCCTGTGGAACTCCTATGGTCTCCGTGACCTTGGGGCATTTACAAAGCCGTCTCGGCCCCAGTGGCCGACGGTGCCGAGTGGCCTTCGCGGCCTGCGGAACTCCTATGGTCTCTGTGACCTTACAAAGCCGTCTCGACCTCAGTGGCCGACGGTGCCGCGTGGCCTCCACAGCCTGCGGAACTCCTATGGTCTCCGTGACCTTGGAACCTTTACAAAGCTCGCCTCGTAGACTCCGCTGCTTAAGGGATTCCTATGGTCCCCGCGGCCCTGGAGTACACATCACCTTAGGCCGACCCTTGACAAGGTACGATTCCAACCAACCATCGACTTAATCATCGCAACATTAGTAATATGGGGTTTACAGTTGAAATATAAAATCCGGGGGAAGGTACTCATATCACCACCGTCGGATCGTAGTAAAGAGCATCGTCGAGACATAGAATTTTATATATACAACCATAAAAGCTCGATTAATAATAAAACGAATAAATGAGGAAAGCAAAAAAGTGGAGTCGATGTTCAAAAATAGGAATCGATTACTTATGTGTAGATTCTCGAAGGCATGGCCTTCGGATATTTATACTTGGCAAAAAATACACCAAAAATCACTTAACAACAACCTAACTAAATAAGCCTCTAGTGAGACCCCCGACCTAATTCGTGAAATAGGGTGTCGTTCTCATATATCAGGTGTTCAGCTTCGCGAGTGGGGGAAGTGGGGTCGTCTCGCATAGCCGGGTAGGGCTCGGGCCATAGTGCCTCAAATCGTACTTCTTTCCTGTCTGAACAATAAATGAGATTGCGCTTTCCAAAGCTGCCCCAAGTTGACCAGCGTACGCCCGAAGGGCCTCGATTTTGTCGGAGGATCGATCCCACCTGACGGCAACCAAGGCATAAGCCTTTCGGAGGTGTACCAAGACGCTCTCGAAATAGTTGCGGGGAATAAAATCCTTAGGGTCGGGTTCGGGCAAGCCTTCGTCCTTCTTTTTCTTCCAGATTTTAGCCTCGAATATCCGGAGGCGATTGTTTGTCAATATCTCTAACTGTATGGAGTTCTTCAGGTGGTCTTCCCAATAGGCCTCCGTGTCCCTCCATAACTTATCTAACCGATCGTTCTCGGCCTTCGCCTCTATAACGGCCCTTCGGGCCTCGCGCAATTCCAACGCCCTATGAGCCTCCAAGGCCTCTTCCAGTTGACCCTCAGACCCGATAGTCTTCCTCGGCTCCGATCAACAGCTGGATCTACCAAAGCCCCTCCGACGGCTGCATAAAGAGGAAAGGCTGTTGGATCGAAATGAGGGTCGGGTAACTGCAGGTCGATCCAAGGAATCCCGGACATTTCCCACTGACCTGGAGTCGCGGGCACGCCTCGGGAGGTTCCCTCGGGCTGATGGGGCAAGTCCGAAATCGCTTCCTTCCCCTGAACACAGGAAGCGCGTGTTAACTGGGGGGTTAGGGAGCGCGGGCTAGGAATTCTTAAGAGTAAGATTGGAACGAAAAACAAAAGTAATATTGAGACGAAGAACAAAAAGCATTGATTTGAATAGGAGAATAAAAACTGAAATTCATTAATTATTCGAACGAAAATGTTACAACGGGAAATAGGTGGTCACTATCGTTAGGTCTAACCCTACGCATCATTCACCTTGTCTCCGATGTTGGTGTTGGAGTCGGTCGAAGTGCCGGCCCCCTTCCCCCCCGCGGCTTCCAGAGTTGTTCCCTTTGGGGGGTGATGTAGGTCCGACCGTCTCTGGCTCCTCATCAGGCCTTGGCAGCGTCCTCGGGGGCGTTTGAGTTCCCCTCAGCATCTGAAAGACGAAGGAAGGGCTGCTAGGAATATCGATGATGTCTTCGGGCTTGGAGATGGAGGGGCAAGCCTCGGTAATCCGCTGCATTATAGGGAGCAACGCGAAATTCATATCGCGAATATACTTCCGCGCCTTGCACCGCAGCCTTACCGCGGACGTCCTCCCTTTCATTGCCCTATCGGTGTATTTGTCGAGGATTGGTTGGATGTCCTCGTTCTTCCTTCGGGCCGCCTATATCTCCAAGACAACCTTCCTAGCTCCCCTTTCCATAGCCGGGTCCATGACGTCGTTAATCCCAAGGGCGAACTCAAACGACCCTAAGTACCTTTGCACCCCCGCGAGGATGTACTTGTCCAGGTCAGACTTGGGGACGGTCGTGCCTGGAGGCTCTCGATCTGGAGGGTATGGGCTAGCTCCACGCCTTCGAACTGCCCCTTCATTGTTGAGATGTTCTCCTCTAGCCGCCTCTTCTCTCCCTCCAAGGCCTGGAGCCGCGCCTCTGCCTCCCTTGCTTTGCCGGCTTCGCTAGCAGCCTTTCTTCTAGCCGAGGCCAGTTGTCTCTCCAAATTCGTGCACACAGTCACGAAGGAGCCTACTGCTTGCATGGCCTGCATGACGAGGATGTTCTTGGTCAGGGGGGGTTTGCACTAGGGAAGAAAAACTTACTTGTCTCATGTCGTCCTATCGCGGTGCCTCGGTGGCGGGCAGGTCCGCACATTCGACCCGTGGGGGGGTCGAACGTGAGCAGGGCATGACCCTCGGGTATACCCTCAAACTGTCCAACTCCTTGCCCTTGATCTTTGTACCCCTCCTTCAAGAGTTCGTCGATGGAGTACAGTTCGTGGATTGCGGGCAGGCTGAATGATAGGGGGTCGACCTCTACCACCTCGGGATCCCCCCGCTTTCTCTTCTGATAGGCCGTGGATTGGCCCGAGAGGCTCCTCTTCCTCGAACTCTCTACAGGCGCCCTCGTCAGTTGACAAGTGGGCACTCGTCCCACTACAGGTTGGGGAGTTTCTTGTTGCCTCTCCTTAGGATATGGTTCCTCCTCGTCTGAATCATTAAAAGCTGAGCTTGCCCATCAGGTTAGCAAATATACCTATCAACAAAAAAATGACCAAATTTAGTCTTCTGATAAAATACCTTGGTTACGAGAGCTGATCGTGTCGCTCAATGACGCGATTTGCCTATATTTATAAGTCTTCCTCCACCCGACCAGTTTCTCTAGGTCTTCTCTCCGGGCCTCCATCTCCTTCTTATCCTTTTTGGTCAATGAATCTAAGCTGACTTTTCCTCCCTCGTCCGGCTTCCATGGATAAAGGTCAGCCAAATCCGAGTCCACGTAAAAGAAGCCCGACCTCCAATGCTTAGAACTTTTGTTCTTGGCTACTAATTCCTTGGAAGGACCGTTGGGGTTTTTAGTGAAGCTGAACCACCTGGGAAAACTCTTCCCGCATCGGACGAGCTTATAAAAGTATCTAAACAAGAAGAGGTCCAGCTCTACCTTCGTCTTGTTATACACGTGGACGAAGGCTAACAATATAGTTATGAGGTTAGGGGTGTATTGGGCTAGAGGTCGGCCATAAGCTTCCACTATTGTCCTATACATGGGCATAAGGGGAAAGTGTAGCCCGTACTCTAAAAATTTCTCATAAATGGTGATCTTCCCCGGAGGGGGAGTTCTGGCTCTCTCAAAGCTTTTTGGTAGGGCGGGGTTAATAGCCGTAAGGCTATAGTGGTTTTCTAAGTCACTTAACCTATCATGATTCAGTGAATATCGAACGTCCTCCACTTTGACCATTTCCTTAGCCATATTGGAAAACAAATATGAGGAAAGGAAGAAGACTTACACATTGTTGGTTGCTCTGACACTGAGATTGGACACCGCCGGCTGAGAGTTCCAGTGCTTGACGTTTAGCTATACCACTTTGCGAATAATGAGAAGAAGAAAATGTCGATTCTTTTTTGAGCCTGGACGAGAAAAGGGAAAAGTGACTTCTGGTGCCCTTGGGGGGGGGTATTTATATACTTCACGGGAACTGAACAGTCTCCTCGGTTCTCCATAAGGCGCCATCATTGTGACACGGTCTCCCAGGTAATCTCCTGCGTCCAACCGGTTTGGGCGGGAAAGATCCAGGAACGTTGGGTCTAGGGTACGCACTAGGCTAAGGACTCCTTTGTGTCAAGCCTAGTTTGACCTTGCTACATTGGGCTTGACAGAGGCACTTGTTGAGGGTCAAATCCTAAACAGCCCATTTGATCCCACGGTTTGGGCTTGGATGTAAGCCCAAAGTACTCCTTTCTTCCCCATTAAGGCCCAACCCTTCCTTTCAAGGGTTATCTATGATTATTTACGTATTTGCCCCCCTTAACGTGGGAGCCCACAGGTATTGTCCCATTGGGACCTATAAATACTCCTTGTACATTTATTACAAAGGCAATTCCACACACCCGTTTCTCTCTCTAAGTGTGTTAATTGCCTGCTTCTCTCTCTAGCACTGACATAATCTTCAGAGTGCTAACCTACGTCTTGCAGGTTCCTGTTTCGGTTGGACCGTTGACTCTCCGCTTCCGGGATCTACCCTCGACACATACCATTGATGATATGGGAAAGGGCAAGATGCTAGAATCCTCACCAGACATTCTTGTTGATCTATATCCAGTTTCTCCACAATCAGATGATTCTCCTGAAGGAGGAGCTGAGACAGATTATGATGGTGAGTTTGATTATAATCTTACTTCTAAGACAAAGACACCACCGATTTCATCACCTCATGTTCAGCCTAGGAGGTTCATTAGAGACAAGAGACCTTCCACCAGGTACAATGCTCATGAGTATTTGTTGTAAACTGATGGGGAGAGTCAGAGTCATATGAAGAGATTCTTAGTCACGAGCAGAAAGATCAGTGGTTAGTAGCCATGCAAGAGGAGATCAAATCCTTGCATGAGAATAACATGTATGACCTGGTGAAGCTACCTAAGGGCAAAAGAGTACTCAAGAATAAATGGGTGTTTAGACTGAAAACAAGTGAGAACAGCTCGCAACTGAGGTACAAAGCTAGATTGATTGTGAAGGGATTTAATCAGAGAAAGGGCGTAGCCTTTGATAGGATATTCACTCATGTTGTAAAGATGTCTTCGATCCACGTTGTACTCCGGAAAACAGCCAGTTTGAATCTTGAGATTGAATAGTTTGATGTGAAGACAACCTTCTTGCATGGTGATTTGGAAGAAGAGATTTACATGGAGCAACCAGGTGGGTTCCAGGAGAAAGGGAAGGAGAAGCTTGCATGTCGTCTCAACAAAAAAGCTTGTATGGGTTGAAGCAAGCTCTGAGGCAGTGGTGCAAGAAGTTTGATGCCTTCATTATAGGGCAGGGATACCAAAGGAGACTAGAGCTGATCACTGTGTGTTTGTGAAGAAATTCTCTGATGGTGATTTTATAATTCTCTTGATTTATGTCGATGACATGTTGATTGTTGGTCATGATACTGCAAAGATTGACAGGTTGAAAAAGGAGTTGAATAGGGCCTTTGCGATGAAGGATTTGGTCCGGTTATACAGCTCTTTGGGATAAAGATTTCTCGTGACAGACAGAATGGAAAACTTTTGGTATCTCAAGAGAAGTATATTGAGAAGGTTCTTACTAGGTTTAACATGAGCAGTGCTAAGGAAGTCTCGAGTCCACTTGCGGGGCATTTTAATCTAAGTAGGACGCAGTGTCCTAAAAGTGAGTGACGAAGCCTGGATTTACACCGCTGGCTCAGTGGTGGAACTCCGGCTAGGGTTTCCTACAAAAGAGGGCCTCGAGGGTCTCTCAAGGGTAGATGCTCCAATGCTCAAGTCAGTAAAAGGGTTTTAAGAACGTATATGGATAGTAGTTTGTGCTAGAGATAGCGTACCTGTATTATGGTGTGATCAACCCTATTTATAGGCATGGAGTTACCTTAAAAGATGCCGAATCCTATTAGGTCTTATGTTCTAGAACCGCCTATGTAAGGTCGGTTGGACCATAACAAACAAGATGAGCCGGTCCAACAACTTCCGGTGGATATGGACTCGTCAAGTGCTCCTGTCAAGTATTAGTTGTATGAAATACACAATGCCTGCACGTTTCCCAAACAATGGCTTCATATCATTATGCCTCCTTGAAAATAGGTGAACTGTCAAATCGTGAGGGGATTAACTTCCTTTATATAGATTGGAACAAATTAAACCCATTTACTTCACTCGTCTCTAAAATCCTTCTGCCCAAAGACTCTCCCAAAGCTACACTTTGTTATTGTCACCGGAATCCTCAATTCCAGTGACATCCCTGACGGCGAAATCATTTGAAGTTTAAAGAAGTCGCGTCGAGAGCTCAATCCAAGGGTTTGCTGAATCTCTTAATTGCCCCTGTATAGTCATCGTTGCTGTCATATCAATTGTAAGACTCGCTGGAGATTATCACCACCCTGGGAGGTTACAACTCGAAAGGCGAGTGGTCTTTTCCAATAGTAAGTCTTTCTAACTCACTCTTACTTTCTAATTCCTTTAGAATTCCAGTTCTGATTTAGATATGAAATACAGTGGTAGATATGGCTAGGAACCCAGATTTAAAAACTGTCGATGACTTTGCTTCCACCATAGATTCCAATGAGAAGGTAAACGGTGTAAAAACAAGATATGACCTGCCCCTAGATCAAGAAGCTAGAGCCCCATTAGGAACCGAGAGGGCTAATTCTCCTCCTGAGGGAAGAATCACTGTATATGACCGCTTTATGTGTCTAGGGATAAGATTCCCCGTCTTCCCTTTGTTCGAGGAGATTGTCGAACACTATAAAACCCCCTTGCTCGTTTTACACCGAATTTGATAACCTTTGTCCTCAGGTTCGCGACAATATGTCAACGAGGAAAAGTGAAGCCCCAACTAATTCTGTGGAGATACCTCTTCCAAGTTGTCGTTCCCTTGACATCATTCCAAGATTGGTACATTGTCAAGAGGCTCCTTAGACCGGGCGTCAAGAAGATGGTCGAGGCATACGGTGGTTCACCTGAATGGAAGCCTGAATTCCTTTTTGTGAAGGCTTCAGAAAAATACTGCGTTGCTTGGAACCACCGAGAAGTAGAAGTCTCGGGGTGATAAAGGATGAGTAGACCAAAGAGGATTACGATAGTATCAAGGAATTCGATGACGATTTGAAGAAAATCCTGAAGTACTCCAAGCTTGTTAATGGAGTAACGTGCAGTATTACATTCCCCCTGTTCCTCTTGAGAAAGAAAAAGATACAAATGTCCCTGTCGAGGAGGGCAAAGATACTATCATTCCTGTCGAGGAAGAAAAAGGTACTAATCTCTTTTATTGCTTTTCCTGTTTTTAGGTCATGTCGTCGAGCAATGTTTGTTCTTGACTGTTTGGTGATGAAGACCCCTTTCCTATTGTAAATTCAGATGAAGAGGTCTCAGCCACTGCAGGTGCTGTTCAAAAGAAGGAAATTAGAGGATTGTGAAAGGCCCCGAGAAGGAAAAGAGCAAGAAAGCGAGGGCCAACACGCGTCTGATAGAGTCAACAGCACAGCAAGAGAAAACTGTGCCCCAAACCACCGAGGAAACCCGCGTTCACCCGTGGAATCTGGGTCACGTAGTGTGGCTCCTGTTGTAGACAAAGGCAAGAACCCTCTCGAGGGAGAGGCAGTCATATTGCCTCCTCATATGTTCAAGGGAGGACCGACTGTAGCAGTCCATACGTTAGGTGACCCTCCAACTATCGAGTGCCCCATCCTGGAAGAATTTGCCACTCAACTGAACAAGACCGACAGCGTGAAGCTGGTAAGTATTTGAAAGTAGTTGGTGAATACTTTTGTAGATTCGTAATAGGCAAAATTCACTTTATCCCGTCAACTTTTGTAGATGAGTGTGACCTCGATGGCCTACTTGATGCACCTAAGGAAACTGAGGGAGGAATTGGTGCAAGCTCGAGCTGAGAGAGATCAAGCACTTCTCAAGAAGGTTGCACTCGAGGAGAAGAGTCAGCAGATATAAGCCAAGGACCTCCATAAATGGTGTGCCGCTTTCTGGTTTAGGATGCTGTCCACCAATGGGGTGGCAGCAGCTATTTAGGAAGTCAACATGGCTGCTACAAAGTATAGGGCCCACACAAAGTAGCTGTCGCAGGCCTCAAAAGGCTTAACAGGGATAGGCCTATCAAAGCCAAGTGGTTTAAGCAATTTTTGAATGAGAATTCGAAAAAGCACATGCACGACATGTTACTAAATGTTCTCTAATAGCAATCTCGTAGACGAAGCAAATTTCGTTAATGCAACCATCAACAAGAAAGTACGAAGATAATTTTGTCTATCCCGTGAAACTCAAAAGAGTGCGGAAAATTCACAGTAAGACGATCGTTTATATAAGTGATTCTACCTCTTAACTCAAACCAAGCAAAGAACACATTATCCATGAAAGATTCGAATTAAACAACAACCCACACTAAGAATAGCAAGGACACCATTCAATATACTCGATCAGTCATCTATCAAGAGACTCAAGAAAGGCAGAAGCAAACAATGCCCAACTATGAAGGAATACTATTGATTAGTAATCTTCATAACCAACCAAAGATATGCAACACATACACTATCTCAAAATGCTTATGCCAAAGCACAACTCATCCAACAAAAGTAGGACAAACCCCACAATGGATCTCATGAACACACACATCATGAAATTCGAACACCAAGCCAAAGGAAAGGCTCATCAATCGAACTACTAGAAGTAGTATGAAAATAAGAAGTTTAGTTTTAAAACAATTTTATCAAGAAGCATACTTGAAAAAGAATGGTTTCTGCAAGATCAAAAAGATCCAAGACAAGATGAAAACCCTCTTGGTTTAAACATACTTGACACGAAAAATGGACACTCCATTTAACAAAAATTCCTCACAGGAAAAACTCTCAAAAGAGACAACAAAAATGACCACTGAAGGGTGCTTCTAAAATTCGGCCAAGCCTCCTATATATAGGCTTGTAATTTTCGGCCAGCACCACTAAAAAGAAGACCAATTAGGACTCTCTAAATCTCACAAGGAGTAAAAGTAGAAGAGTACTTGATCTCTTTGACTCTATCTAAAATCTAGGAAACCTTATCTAAATGACTTATCCTCAAGTAGGATAATATCTAGAAGGAATCTAAGACTCCTAATCAAAACACTCTAGTTTAATTCAGTCCACATGACTTATTTAACTAGATAAAAATTCGAAAATAACTCCTAGACTTAGACAATGACTCTAATATCGAAATTCAGCTCCAAATTATTGAAGTAAAATGTCTTGAACGCCCTTCCAAAAGTGGAATATTGGTCTTGCGCCCCTTAAGTTGTAGAAACCTCCAATTTACTCCAAAACTTGTAGAATTCTCTTTATTGACTCCAAAAGATTGGAAAAACACTTGAAACAATTAAGATAGTTTGCAACCTATCCAATTGTGTAGCAATGGACTCAATCTTGAACACTTTGATCAAATAGGCCGTCCACCCAAGAACCTAAATGACTCTTCTCACTAGCTTGATCAATGATCTTCATGGAGCACACAGAGTTAACTCAAATTTCGTTATTGCAACCATCAAACAAGAAAGTACGAAGATAAGTTGTCTATCCTGTGAAACTCAAAAGTGTGCGGAAAATTCACAGTAAGACGATTGTTTATCTAAGGAATTCTATCTCTTAACTCAAACCAAGCAAAGAACACATAATCTATGAAAGATTCGAATTAAACAACAAACCACACTAAGAATAGTAAGGACACCATTCAGTATACTCGATTAGTCATCATTCAAGAGACTCAAGAAAGGTAGGAGCAAACAATGCTCAACTATGAAGGAATACTATTGATTAGTAATCTCCATAACCAACAAAGATATGCAACACATACACTATCTCAAAATGCTTATGCCAAAGCACACTCATCCAACAAAAAGTAGGACAAACCTCACTAAGGAACTCATGAACACACACATCATGAATTCGAAAACCATAGCCAAAGGAAAGGCTTAACTCTCTAACTACTAGAAGTAGTATGAAAATAAGAAGTTTAGTTTTAAAACAATTCTATCAAGAAGCATACTTGAAAAAGAACGGTTTCTGCAAGATCAAAAGATCCAAGACAAGATGAAAACCCTCTTGGTTAAATCATACTTGACACGAAAAATGGACACACCATTTAACAAAAATTCCTCACAGGAAAAACTCTCATTAGAGAAAACTCAAAATGACCACACACGGGTGCTTTAACTTTTGGCTATACCCCCCCTATTTATAGGCTAGCAATTTCGGCCAAAGCACCAAAAAAGAAGACCAACTAGGACTCTCTAATCTAATCTCACACAGGAGTAGAAGTAGAAGAGTATTTGATCTCTTTGACTCTATCTATCGAGTTTTATCTAGTTAAAAGGAATCTATGAATCCTAATCAAAACATTCTAGTTTAATTCAGTCCACATGACTTATTTAACTAGATAAAATTCGAAAATAAACCCTAGACTAGATAATACTCTAATTCTCGAATATCAGCTGCAAATATTGAATTAAAATGTCTTGAACACCCTTCCAAAAGTGGAATATTGGTCTTGTGCCCCTGAAGTTGTAGATAACTCCAATTCGCTCCAAAACTTGTAGAATTCTCTTTATTGACTCCAAAAGATTGGAAAAACACTTGAAACAATTGAGATAGTTTGCAACCTATTCAATTGTGTAGCAATAGACTCACTCTTGAACACTTTGATCAAATAGGCCGTCCATTCAAGAACCTAAATGACTCTCGTCTCTAGCTTGATCAATGATATTCATGGAGCACCTAGAGTCAAACTCCTTTGATATTCTTGAGCACTTATTTCCATGAGTGAATTATCTCCTTTGGTTTGCACCCAAAGTTAATGACATTCTCATCATCTTGATCATAGCTCTCTTGAACCAACTCCCTATCATATAGGTAGTCAAGATCCAACCTTTCTTCCTTGATTGGCCTGCAAGTAAACTTGGCATTCCAAAACTAGAATGAAGGACTAGCTCATTCCCCTCACTAGAAGAACCACCATGGAAGGCTATATGATTCTCATCATCCCCTCCTTCTTTAAGAGGATTCGTCCTTGAAAAGATACCATGGCCTTCTTAGTGACATCGACAACTACCTCTTCACTCAACCATTGAAACTTGTATGGTCTAGTATGTGGATCCATCTTGATTCCGTTCAAAATTCCTCACTTATACAATCAGTATTCGATCCACTATCGATTACCAAATCAACTTCATTGGACCACCCAACCGAACACTTAGTACGGAAGATACATGTCCGTTGATCACCATCTTCAGCGCCAAACACCAACCCTTGATCCTCAATTGGACCATTCCAACCATAAGAAGTATCATGCTCTCTCTCCACTTCTAAGGTAGCATAGTATGCCTCATAGAGCCTTGATTGCCTCCTTATCTTTGGGTGTTGTTTATACCCCTTGCAAGCCATAGTGGAAACGATTAGTCAACATGTAGTCGTTCTCATCCACACCCAAACTCAAGAACACGCCTTCTAACTCCTTAAAGTAAGATTGAACGGATCTACCATTCTCCTTACAATTGAGTAACTTCACTTTTTCTTCATCAAAAGAGTTAGTACCAGCATATCTTTCTCGCAAAGCATTCCTCAAATCATGCCAATCATCCAAATTACGATACCAATGATGCGAATAGATATTTGAAACTAGCTTCCACCAATTTAAAGCACTAGAACGAAAACAACCTACAACTAAGGCTATTTTCTCACTCTCTTTCTCTATGTTAAGCAATACAAACAAATTCTCTATGCTCTTTTCCCAAGTATCATAGTCTCTATGTCAACCATAAAATAAAGGCAATAACACTTGCAACATTCCATCATACGAGGGTACTTGTTTTACTTCAAAACGATCACATAAGACTCTTAAAGTTTTAGCAATTTTCTCAAAACTTACCATAGCTTTATCTGGCTGATTTGAAAGCAATTGAGACAAGTCTCGGTTCGCCTCCTTCACCTCGGCCAAAACATCATGCAAGTAGTCAATTTGACTCTTCATGAGCTGCACTTGAGCCTCCATGCGACCCTCTACACTCTTTGAAGCAACTTGAGTACAACCAGCAACTCCAAATGACATCTTTGCTCAACAACTTTGAGAAACCACCATCAAAAGAAGTAATGTGCCTTTGTTACTACATAAAAACTCCTTGAACCCTTGAACCAATGAATGGCTTGGCCGAAACCCCCCAAGAACCAAAGGAAGGTTCGAATATTGCTCTCCCCAAAAACAAAAACTCTCTTGTGCTTTTAAGAACACTAACTCTCAAAAATTCAGAATAAAGAGAAAAGTGCTTCTCTTGTTTATACCCTTTTGATCTCGGCAGCAAGACGAAGAAGAAGAATGGAGTAGAGTGGTGTGAGAATTTTCGAAAAACAGCACCCCTATTCATAGGCAATGCAAGTCTTTTTGTGCAAGAAAACTCCAGAAGATAGGACCTAAATTTTCTCAAAAATATTCCCCCCTTAATTGATAAAGTTTCAGTCGACAAGATGGAATAAAAGGAAGAAATTCAGCCAACATATATATATATATATATATATATATATAAAAGGATAGAGTCCTAAAACTTAGGTAATCATAATCTCTTTTGGACACAACTTATGAATTATGTCATAAAACAATGAAAGATTCATCCCTACTATTTAGAGAAAAAAAATCCGACCCCTACTACAAATAGGACTCAAAAATTCGGCCAACACACAAGCATAATTGTATTAAAAGACTCAAAACTTTTCAGATTAAGATAAAACTTCCTTATCTCAAAAGTTTTAGAAAATAGACTCACTTTAAAACTCTAATTATAATCTCACTGAAATTATAATTTAACTCATGCAAAACTTAGTATTTAAATCCAAGTAGGAATCAAATAAAACACACAATAAAATTAGGAAACAAAGGCTGAAAAATTTCGGCCAATGTGAACACTAAAATCTAAAACC